AGTTATTTTTCACCTAAATAAATATGTTTTTTCTAGTGAATTCACCTAAAATTAAATATTAAAAATAATTAAAAGCTTTTAATTTCATTTTTAGAATGTGTAGATTTCCAAATCTGCAAGTATCACCTAATTTTTTTTTTTTAAGATATACATTTTAAAACTGAAATTAAAACCTATTTTAATCATTTTAATATAATCTTGCTTAAGTGTATTATTTGCCAGATAAAACCATAAAGATATTTGTAAAAATAAAATCAATTAATTTTCCTTTAGAAGAATTTTATAGGCAGAACAGTAACAAACATCCACCGAACACTAGTAGCTAAAAAAGAATAATTTTTACTTTGGGTTTAAAAAAATGACTTGCTGCTTTGAAAGTATACACATTTTGAAACTGAGATTAAAGTTTTATTTTTTTAATCTCTAACTTTGTGTATTTGCTAAATACAAACATAATTTTATTTGTAGAAAACAGAAACTTGCATATCTGGAAATATACACACCTTAAAAGTGAAATTAAGACTAATTTTAATTATTCTTAATATCTAATTTAGGTGCATTCCTTAGATAAAAAACAAATTTATTTATAAAAAAAAATCTTCATTCATTTTTCTTGTTTACAACAACTTTTTTTCGTGATTGGCATAATGGCTTACTAGAAAACCCTTACAAAAAATCCGATTTCATAAAATTTAACATTAAGACAAAACTGGCAACTATTTTTTTTATTTTTACTCTCTATTTTGTTGTTCATTTTTATCACAAAAAATTTTTTTTTTTTTAAAACTGTAACAAACAGATTTCAGCCATTATATCATATTTCCTTTTTTTCTTCATTTCTTTAGTAAACAGATTTCACATTTATTTCCTAAAACTAGTGAATTAAATGTTTTTAACATATTTTTGTTCAATCTTTTTCTCTTACAATGGCATAAATGTTGATAAAATTTAATTTTAACAACATCTGAAAGTCTTTTTCAATAGTGTTTCTTTGGATATGGTCACTCAGTAGTGATATAAAAACCAAACTGAAATCATTTAGTTTTGTAAAAAAATTTTGATGTGGTTTCACAGTGTGAAGGTGAAACCAAAAAAAAAGTAAGTTTTTTTAGTTAAACTGCACATCTCTACATCAGTCACACTAATACATGTCTATCGAGATAACTTATGTTATACCTATCTGACCACAGCACCATTAGAATCCATTTAAACACACACACACACTTACCAGACTTCATCTGAAACATACTAGTAGAAAATACTAACATAATAACCTATTCTACATATAAAAAAAGATTAAAAATAAGTGAAGCCTTAATAATAAAAAAAAAGAAAAAGCCAACACTCAATAATATTAACTACAAACATGGCCACAATGTGTTGTGTTCAGAAAATAAAACATCCCTATAACTCTAGAAACATACACACAACCCATACACCCAGTTAAAAAGCAAAAATAAAATCATCCTTGATAATGGCTAAAAGAATAGCTCAAAGTGCTCGGAATTACAGAACATTTGGACAGTTTCTATACACTCTGTGTCCAGAATAGAAAACACTTATTCAAACACAAGAAAAATTAAATAAAAAGCTTAATTGCAGTACTTTGTCTGTTAAATAAAATGTCTCTTCAGAAAATTAACAATTTTATTTAAAATTGCAATTTATGAAACATCACTTAATTTTCCAATTTTGGAAAATTTTCCATACAAGATAAAAAGGATTTTTATAAATAAAAAGGGAAAAAAAATAAGAATTCAACAAAAGGAAGAGGTGGGGAAAAAGAAGGGCACAAGAAAGCATAAGGAATAAACCCTACTACCATGATTATAGACAAAAAAGAAAGGCAAAAGAAAGAGAAGAGTATATTCAAAATTTCACACATACAAAGGAAAAGGAAAGTTAAGAAAATAACATGAGAAGATCTTGATATGAATTAAGCCAATGAAATTATATTGATTAAGAGAATCCATATTTGAATAGAAATGAAATGCCAATAAATACATTGGTTAACAATGTCACATTTCAAATTTTATGAAATCACATATTCAAATAAAATTATCCATAGAACATAAAGAACATTTTAAGAAGCAATACATTACTTAAAAACCAACCTTACATTATAAATAAGAATATAAAATGAATTTTAAACTTTTAATATTTTTATATTAATTTTAAATTAGAAACTATTATCAATACAGCAAGAGAAAAATAAAAATAATAAACCAATTCATGGCTAAGCATACTACCAGTAATTTATGAATACTAACCAATATAATGCCTAAAACTAGAATAAATCACTGATGATAACATTAAAATGTTTATATAAAGATAATATAACAAAAGATGAATGATTATTGAGTTATGAAATTTAGCAAGATTGTAAGGTTAATTCTTTAATATGTTTACAATTTACAGTTGATTTAATAATATTTCACTATTCAAGAACTTAATTATTTCTATTTTCTCCTGCAGACAGAGGAAGCATGGTTCATTCACCACTTTGGAGATTCTAGCTTGTTTGAGAATTTTCCATTTAACTTTAGGTGTTTTATTTTCCTCTTTCAATTTCCCAAAATATTTAGAAAGTGAAGTCATATTTTGTTTATCTGCATTAGTAAAGGATGAAAGATGATTATAGAAACACTTTTTAAATTGATTCATTGTGCTTCCAATATATATTTTAGAAACCCTTGGATTTTGTACTGATGAAATAGAACACATATACACAAGGGATTTAGTTAAGCACTTGTTAGATAAATGGTGTTGGTCAGGATTTCTACAACTACAAAGGTTATTTATACAGGACAAATTAAGGTCAGCATTAGCATTACAGTTATTATTGTTATATAAATTCAATATTTTATTATGTAATCTAATTATTTTCTCTAAATTAATAGTACAACTATAACTAGGTTTTAGTGTTCTGATTGAAAATTTTACTTAAAGAATTATTTTTAGGAAAATGTTTATCAATTAATTTTAAAAATTTATGTCCCAATTTAGTATGAACTAATTGATTCAATGGAGGTGTATACCATATGATCGTCCTGTTTCTGTTTTTCTTTTAGGAACAACCATAATCTTCTACAAATCTAATTTCAGAAGATCTGTACCCACTATCCCTAAGAACTAGCATAGTTATTAATTCTAATATTAAACAAGTTGATTTCTTAGATGTAACGTTAAATTTGGTTTTCAATAATTTTCAACCTTACATGAAAAATAATGCCAACCCTATTTATATCCATCTAGTTCTAATCACCCACCATCTGTAATCCAACATATTCCATCATCAGTAGAACAATGGATTAATCAACACTCTTCTAGCAAAGAAATATTTGAAAAACATAAAACAGTTTATGATAAAGTTCTTAGGGATAATGGGTTCAGATCTTCAATTGAAACACTCTAAAACTTAGTTATAGTTGTACTAATAATTTAGAGAAAATAATTAAATCAAATAACAATGAAATGAGTTCTGCCTTTTCTATCCATTCAACTATGTTTGGCCTGAAGCTGAGCTGTCAAACTCTGATATAAGTTTGATATCAAACTTCCCCTCTGATATAGTTTGCAATATCACCAAAATAGCTTGTAGCCGAGTTATCAAAATTCCTTATCTTCACTCCTGTTGCACTAATGGTATCTCTTCAAGCAACTCCCTGGTGTAAACAAAATGCTGGATTTTATGGTGTCTAGCGAGGTGGCAACACAAATTTTTGGTCACATGAGATATCACCTAGTCCGTGCAGATTGAGTCTCACATGCACAGCACAGGCAAACTTATGTTGCTTATGCCCGGAGGAGGGGTATCAGTCTCTGTCCACTGCAGATATTTTGTTAACCAAACACTTTAATAAATCCATATGGATAATGTTCTCATTCCTCTTTCCATTCTTAGAGAATATTTCTTGTCTATTCACCTTTTTACCACTTGCTCATTTCTTACACTGAACTAGAGTATATAACTTTATTTTTATCTGCCCCCCCCCCCCATACAGGGATTTAATTCATAACTACCAGAGAACTAGATATGTTTTAACCAATGCTTTAGTCTATTGTGCTCTGCAACAATTAAGTGGTGTAATTTGAAAACTTTGAACCTGACTGTATTCAGTTGGTGGAATTTTTTTAGTCTTTCCTATTTTAATCAGAGACTTTTAAATGGTGTTCATCTTTATAATCCAAAATTGAATAAAATGTTCTGTTCAAAATTTAAAAAATGTTATGATCAAAAGTTACTAAACAATCATGATGAAAATTAATTGAAAATGGTTTAGTTACTGATTCAGTTAATATATCCCCCACCTTTTTTCTCTAGTTTTCATAGGCTTTTGATGATATACATAGCCATCAAACATGTACATGTGTGTGTGTGTGTGTGTGTGTGTGCATATGTGTGTTTTTCCAACAAAAGAGATAGCAGCCAGGTTTTCAGATTTTACTTCATCAACTTTTTTTCAGATTTAAAGGCAGTAAAAATTAAAGAAAAAAAATCCTCTCTCTCCCCTTTCCCATAAAATGAATGTTTGAAGTTTTTCTATTTCTTCTCCATTGCATAAAAATGTCAATAAACCTTTAATTATAATATTAAAGTGAACTGCTCTTTTTTGTTTTGTTTTATTTTTTCTTTTTGTTCATTTTTATCTCCCTTTGTTATTGAACCAAATGTGTCAATGTCCCTTGAAAAGACAATACTCTTAAATTTAGGTCATGACCTGTAATACTTAACACAAATCGTTGCTATCTTTTAGTTTTGACATCAGGCATCTATTGTTATATGCTAAAATATTTTCAACAAAAGAAATTGTCTTTTTTTTCCCCCTAATTTTCATATTTTAAAGCATGCTATTTTATAGTTTCAAAAAAATATTTTACATTATTCAAACAGGAATAGTATGCTACTAGAATTGGAAGAAAATAGAGAATTTTTTTACAAATTCTCTAAATGAATAATTTGTCTACCTCTGGAAATTTCTAGCTTATAGCCACATTATGTTGAAACACTTGTTCCTATACAATCACCAAAGTTAAGCAGTATTGAGCCTAGTCAGTAGCTAGATGGGTGACTGCTTGGGAATTCCAGGTGTTGTAAGCTTTGTGTGGGTGGTGTGATGGATAATGGCTCAGAATTGTTAATCAGAGGGCTGAGTTCCAATTCCCGTTGGTTACATTATATTCCTGTATGTGCAAATACTCTTAGGAAAGGTATGAAATCACCTCTTCTCTCCCAGCCATGGGTTAATTAGTAAGACTTGTATAAATAAATCCTTATTTCCTCCCCCCAAATTCTTACAATCTAAAAATATTTTTAGGTTTTAAATAACCTGCAATGGGTTGATAAACCAAAAAAGGACTGAATTAATCTGGAAATTTTTAGATTAAAACATAGTTTGTGTTTAACACTTATTTCAGTATATCAATCCTGAAAAAAGTTTTTAAGAGTTTTCCCTTTTTTTATTTTACCAAAAATGATCTCCTCACACATTCAATGTCATAAAAATGTGTTTAAATATTTTAAAGTTGAATATATAAACAATTTACTTTCACTAATGTTAACAATTATGAAATATTTAAAAAAAAAAATTAATGATCTAGTTTTAAATGATTAACAAATTTTCATACTTTTAGTATAATTATGAAATAACTGTATGAGTTCACTAAATAAATATAAAACAAATACTCATAAAGTAGCAAAACTGGAATAATATTTTAATGTGTGAAAAGACTTATAAACATATTACTTGGTAATCATTTATTGATAAGCATGTTTATAAATTGTGGCATATTCAAGGTTTTTTAGCCTTGCATTATTTCTATTTATAAATTTCCCTCATGTCAAAATTTAAAATTCTTTTTTAATACTTAATAAGAATGTGTCATTAAAATAAATAAAATTATTGATATATCACATCTCAACTTTGACTAATTAGGATTAAAAAAAGCCCATGGTTAACATAAAATATTGATAATGTATAAAAGACTTGATTCAAATAAGTATTTTGATAAATTTTTTTTAAAGTTATTTTTACTGAGACTAAATGGTAGTCTTGTTTGCTATGGATGCCCTCCCCACTCCATATATTTTGAAATTAAAAACAAGAATGCCTTAATCTTGTTTCATGATTTTAAAAGTTGTTTGATATATTTCTTTACTCCTTCATTGCTCACTTTGAACAAAAATAAGAAACATTTTCTGTAATTTGACTAATGATATTCTTTTATTTTTTCTTCTAGAAAAATTTTGATCAGTATGGCCTGAAAGCATTAGATCTGACTCTGTCTTTTGATGAAAAAGCAGTCCTAGAAAATATTGTGCCTTACCTGACGAATACCCTGGGGGTAAGTGGCTACAGATATTTTCTCTCTCTCACACACACACGCACACACACACACAAGGTATTTTTTGGATTTGAATTATTCTTTTGTGTTGCACTAATGAGAATATAAACTTTACAAAGAATCTAACTAGAAGAGAGAGAAAAAAATAAGCAAATACTGTTTTGTAATATCCTTTTAATCATTTTATCTGAAGTTATGTATATGCAGAAATACATTGAAAGGTGTCAATAGAAATGTAATGTTTTTAATTGGTACTATTTTATGGACAGGGTAGTCTGAAAGTTTTGTCACCTCTACATAATATAATTTTTTATTTCAACACTCTGTGGGGTATTATCAAGGAGAGAGTTTCACATGAATGAAAACAGAATACCCATCCAGTTGAAGGATGTTGTTCAGATAGCCTTTGCAACAATCAACAAAGCACAGCTTCATAAAATATCACACAGGACATGGTGCCGCATCATTTTGTGCCACTAAAATGGTGGTATTCATAGAGAACTTCTCGGTGTGTGATGGCATCATTGTAAGCAAATAAACTGAATCTAGTACATGTGCTTTGTATTACTGTATTACTGTATTACTTGTCCTATTGTTCTCATTACTTTTTTGGCAGAGGGTGACAAGATTTTCGGACCACCCTGTACTTCAGAATTACTCCTTATATTATATCTGAAAATCCAACTTCATAGTGGACTGTATATAGTTAAAGTAATTCTTGCTTAGAAAATCTCCAAGCTCATCTTTATCTGCTGTTCTTAAACTGTGTAAATATAAAAATTATCTGCTGTTCTTAAACTGTGTAAATATAAAAAAAATTCAGAGTCCCAAAATTTGTTTATCATCTTGCCCACTTTTTTTATCTGTTAAATTTTGTAATCATTAAAAACTGGTTTTCTTTAGACACCACTGACATGAATACACTAAGCTGTACATCTGCCTTGAAACAAGAATTTATTTTATTTTTCAATTTCTCATTCCATTGTATGAAAACATATTTCTAATGGAAGATACTGACTAGAACAAAAATATATTGGTTTGGTTTTCTTTATTAGTGAAATGTACAAAGTTGGAAGTGAATTCCTCAATTCTGATGCTATTTGGCAATGGCCACCAAACCTTTTTAATTGACCTGCAGTATATTTTCTTTTGAAATTCTCTTTATTTTATTTGAAATTAAGTATATATTAATGAATATTACTTTCAATAGATGTCAAACATGAATGAAATAATGTCCATTTACCTATTTACTTATGTATGTTGGTGAACATAAACATGTGTGCATATATATATATATATATATATATATATATAAACTTTCAAATAATATCATAATACAAGATATTTTTTAATGGAAGTTCTCAAATTTTTACTGCTTATATTTTCATGACTTTGTATTATAGTAAATTTAATATATTCTTTGTTATGTTTTGCTCATCTCTATGCATACTAGTAGTAGTTGTCATACAGTTCTCTCCGTGTCCCAAATAGCAACCATGTTTGCTAGGCATAGCCACTCTATGTTCACCAATTGTTCTCTATGTATACTTGTCTTTTTAATTTGTATATGATACTACATTCTCATTTTTAAATATTTCTTTACAAGATTTTCATTAAGTGGAAAATACCTCCTGAAATAGTTTATACTCATTATACTCGTGTAATAAATCTTTAAAAAAAAAAACAAAGTTATTATGGATTGAATTTTGTCAAAATCTGTTTTTGATAAAATGTATTTTCTTTATCTTTCACTTTTCAAATGTGGATCAATTTCACAAATTATATTATGGTATAGTACTCAACATTGTAATCAGTTGTCCATATTAAATTCAGTATTAAATTCAAACCATTTCTATTTATTAATTTTACTTTGACATCTTGCTTTTCCTTAAAGCCAACATACCATGCATTATCATAAAAGCATGAAATATATTTGTCTGGTAGATATTATTGACTGTATTTTTTGACCAAGTGATCATTTTCAAACATATTTATCATAGTTTTTATCACTAGAAACTCTTTTCATGCAGTGTGTCTCCATCTGGAATGAAACAGTGTTAATATCTTTTTCCAGAAATGATCTTGGTATTTGAATAACACTTTAATAAATCAATGTTTTTTCATGACAGGCATCTTCTTTACTAATATAAAACATTGTTATTCCTTTAATGTATTTTTTTGCACACATATATAATTCTTTAAGGGTGATAATTTAATTTTCAGCTCTGCTTTCAAGCTAGCATTTGTTGCTTTTCTTTTGATCATTCTTCCTCCTATTCCATAACATGCACTTTTGCAAAGTGGCAAAGAAATGATGCTCAGCTTTAAGGCTATGGGTTTTTTTTCATGATAGATGAGACTAATAAGGGTTTTGAAATTTTTGTATTGTGAAATTGTGTCTCCTGTGAATCATTTTTAACAACATGGTAAGAAAACAGTGAATTGTGAGATGTTCATGTTTCAAATTATCTTATATTACCCTTCAAATTATTATTGATGTTGCTATTAGGTTTGGAGTCATTGTTTGAAGTTGAGAAGGCATTGCATATTGATGAAGAAAATTAGAAGTGTTCAATTGGTTGAGAAAATAGACAAACAACATATGTGAAAAAAAAAGAAAAAGAAATTGTATGAAATTATTTATGCCATGTGTATCTATTGCATGGAGTGCTAATTTAATCATCCTATCCTGATCTTGGCCAAGATGTGAGAGAGAACTAGCCTCTTGGAATTTGCAATTCATGGCATGCATGCTCCCAGTTTTTTTTCTTTTTAAGCATGTCCTAAAACTGAAAAGTGGTTACTGCTGCTGATAAACGTTATCAATGCATGTGTGTTTAGAAATAAGTTTTAACAAATATAGTCATCAACATGTCAGTACTTAATGTAGGTCTTTGTCTTATGGAAATACCTTTCAACCAGATTTTGTTTGTATATTTGGTCTGGTTGTTTACTGTGACGTAGCAGTTTCTTGTGAGTAATTCTTTTTTGTAGTGTCAAGGTTGTTTTTGTTAGTATTGGGTGTCTTCACTTGTATGGGTGTTTTCTACTGATGCAGGTCAATAGCATTCTTGCCATTTTTCTGCACAGTAAAATGTTTGTCAGTCCTCTTCATTACTTTATATAGAACTTGGTATGTATGATGCAATGTTTCCTCTTGGTGCCATTATGTACAAACACATATTCACTGTCAAAGATTTTGGGGAATGTACCATTGTCTGTTTGTCAGATGTGTGGCATTAAACTGTTTTGGACATCTTGTGTCTTAAATCTTGCACAAAGGATGGTGTATTTCTTTGCCGTGTAGGTTAGTGGAGCAAAATTCCTCTGAAATTGAACTGGGTTTGTTTACCTTAAACTTGAAAATTCCCTCTAATATTGAAAAATATGAACATTTTCTTAGCATATTAAGTAAAAATGTATCATAATTTTTTTTTTTTTTTAAGCATTTCACCCCAAGCATGGTGGGATGCCACTAGTACACAGGGGGTTACAGAGTGGGAGTGAGAGGTGTGATGGAGGAAAGGATGAAGAGAAGCTCAAGGGATAGTTCAGGGCATCTGGAGATGTTGATTGACATTACATTTGAATAGTTGGAGATTATAGCTATCAGGGAAACAAGTAATAGGAAGGGAATTCCACAGACAGGAGGTGCAAGACATGAAGCTATTGGAGTAGAAGAGACAGTCACATTTAACCATTTCGACAGTGAAAGGGTGGAACTGTGATACTAGCCTAGTAGCACGCTTAATTT